CGCTCGGGCCCCCCCGGCGCTCTGCGGTCGCGGATAAGCTGCTTGTGCTGGCTGCGGAGGACGCAGTTTGTGCCGCCGTTCTGTCTGTTCGGAGAGATGGTATCCGAGTGGGCTTTCGTTCGGTGCAGGTTTTTTTTCCTTTATATGAAAAAGGCCGTTTGTTTTCGCTCTGGAAGTCCTAGGAATATTAATGCTGGTTTTTCCTGCCGGCTTTGGAGGATGGCAGGGTAGTATTGAGGGAGTTTATTTTGAACTTAAGGTGTCTTATTTTGATTTTGAGTTAACAGAGTGTGAAGGGGAGCTTGCAAATAAGGGTGAAAGCTTATCAAAATCTTATTGAAAATAACAGCTAGCTGAAGGCAAATAGTGCTATACAGTTAGACAAGGCAGTCTAATGCCCTAAAACTGCTCCTCTTCCTTTCTTAAATGTTTGTGCTTTTCTGCCTTGAGTTCCGTGGGTTATGCTGCTGCCTAGTTTTTGCTCCCACTCCACTACAAACTTACTGTGGTGTTCTCAGAATAATTAGAAGAGTAATTTTAAAGGATTAAACTAGGCTTTTCTGGCCTAGGCACAGTTCCAGTTTTGAGTATAGAAAGGACAGGATGAAGAAGAAGAGAAAACTTAATCTTTCTCAGTTATCTCTACACTGTGAAAATGTCCTGTGCCAGGTCTTTTGGAAAGCTAGCTGAGATTGAGAAGCTCTGAGGAACAGATTGTTTCTATAGTAAAAAGATAGTAATAATAAAAAAATAGGTGACTAAGGTCAAACCAGGTCACAGCTTTAAAAAGACTCAGTATCTTGGACAAATATAGATATATTTACATATTGACATGAAGCAAGTAGTATATTTTGTGCTTCAGGCTGTGAACTGATTACCTGATGAAGGAACTTTTCCCCTCAGCAAGCAGTGCTTTGCTTTCCTCAGGAGAGCTCTATTACCTGCTGTTGCCTGGTGGGAGGGGAGGGAGAGGCAAGGATTGAGAACCAGCTCTTGTGTTTGGCCAACAGCCTGTGTGGTTCACGGGCCCATAAGGACCACAGTGCTGGGAAACTGGAATGCCTTGGCTTCCCTGCTCTGCTCCATGCAGCTTATGTGGGGGACAGCCCTGAGCGGTGTAACTGCTGCCTGAAAGGGAGTAGGACTGTATCATCCTTGTGTGGGTGCTGGGTTTTTATTCATTGATGTTGAGAAATGGTCTGGGACCTCAGGCGAAGGTAGTATCAAGATTGCGTGCAAAGTTGCCACTTCCAGGGCTAGACTTGCCTTCCCAGAGCTCCAGCAGTAGGTGCTGTTTTTAACTCTGTTTGAATCCAAGCAGTCTAGGAACATGTCCCTACAAGGAGGTGCTGGGACACCAGAATGCTCTAGGCTAGCTGGAGCAGTGGGAGTGTGGCTCAGATGCACCTGTGTAGAGGCAAATAGTCTCAGGTCTTGTACAGACTTGCTTTGTCTTTGATGAGTATGGAGGCATTCAGTTGTGATGTAAATGTGACTTTGGTGTCTCAAAGCTGTCATAGCTGGATCTGTATTACTCAGAGTATCTCCATGCCATATTCTGTTTTGGAAGTCAGATGTGGTTTCAGTTTCCATGATGGCCATGTGTCCAGTAGTAGCTGCTATTTTTTGTCTGTCAGGCATGCATCATCATTGAGAGAACAGGAAAGGAAGGCTTCCTGAAGTGAAAGATGTCTTGATGAAACCTTCAAAAGTTATTAGAAGGAAGAGTAGAAAGTCTCTGTGAAACAGGCTTTTCAGCAGCAAAAATTTGGATGACAAAGTGTCTGGGCAATGACTTCTAATTTCTCCAAGTGAGGTAATTAAGCCTGTGGATTCAAAAGAACACGAAGTCATTATCTTCTTATTTCAGTGCTGATCCTTTGGGGGAATGGGAGTGATGTCAGGCTTGAGAAAAATTAGGCAAGAAGTCTAGCTGTTGGATTTCAGCACTGTCCTCACAGTTACTTTCCTTTTTCTCTGTGCAAGTCCACTCCTGAGTATATTCTTTTAACAACATCTTAATGAGGCAGTTAGATCCCAAACCATTCTCCACCAGTAGCTAAATGCTGCTCTCATTTTTCCTAGCCAGTGTATGGCTAGCCGGGTAGCAGTGGAAAGCTCTCTTATTTAACATCACTCTGTAGTGCACCACCTATGTAAATGATGCAGAATGGGAATGCTGGAAGTTGTTAGATCCAGGGGGAACTCCTTTGGTGATGGGCACTGAAGAGGCATCTGGTGGAAGAGACACAAGAAAGAAGTGGGTTGAAAGATAACCATGAGGGTACTGAGAGAATGGGAATAAAAAGACATCCTAGGGACGAAAGGTGCTGGAGGAATGTACAATGATAAGACAGGTAGTGGTGTGAAACAAGTTGGGAAGGAATAGCATCGAGTTGTTCCTTCTGAATTCCAGCTGTTTGGGGACCACAGCTGTACTTTATATATGTGTTTTAATTTAAATATATTTTCTTTTTTCTTCCCTTTCCATGTTCTTCTGTTTAAGTGAGAAGAAAAAAATGACCTAATCACCATTCAGCCATTGTGGCCAAGGGCAGGAACGGGGTAGAGCTGCCAGGAGCATGGCTTTGCCTGGAAGCTTACGGAGGCAGCCTGCAAACAGAGGCCTTGTGTCCCATTGCACCCACCATCATATTGTTGTGTTTCTGCTGACCTTCTTCAGGTAGGTTAAGTGTGTCTCTGCACAAAGAAGTGTTCACTTCTCTGAATTTGGGGATGTGAAAGTATGTCATAGGAGGAGAATGAAGGGAGGGAAATAGTCTAAACCTGCAGCTGTGAGCCTTGAAAATTTGCAAATTTGCCTTGGACTCATGCAGTACTGGAGCTAAGACTACTTATGCCCCTGGGGAATCCAGCCACCAATAGGCTTGTACCAGAGGTGAGGCTGGCTGTGCCAAGCCAGCAGCAGTCTGTTGCAGAAGGGCGAAATCTGTGTCTTCCCATAATTAGGGGGTTCCCACTCCTGATTGCTATCTCCAAAACTGTCAGTCCTCTGCTGTGCTGCCTGCTGGGACAGCCTGTATCTTCCCACTGGGTGTGACCTCCAGAGAAGATTTATTCAACCTGTGTTTGTGTTTTCTGGCAGTTATTCCCTGCTCCATGCTTCCAGAAAGACATTCAGTAATGTCAAAGTCAGCATTTCCAGCCAATGGACTCCCTCCTGCCTAAACAGCACGATCCCTGAGCTCCGGCCATATGAGGTAAGGACACAAGGGACACGGAATTGCAAACAAAGATGGGTAATTTCCAGTGTGCTGAGCTTGTGTTGCTGGAGAGGCTCCTTTTAAGTGTCTGTCAGGGACACTTCTGGGAATGTGAGTGGGAACTTCAGGTGTTTGCATTGTAGTTTTATGGATCATTAGGTGAGGGTGAAATATTTCCTAGTGGTCCCCAGAAGGAAAATTCTCAAGAGGTTACAGTGTTCCAATGGAAATGGGGGCCCTAGCAGAGTCTGTAACAGCCAGCAGCATGGAGGTGGGGGAGGGGGGAAAAGGAGGGTCCCTATGTCTGAAGTGTTGGAGGCAATAAAACAAAGCAGTTAATGGGCTTCCAGAGAGTTCAGTAGAATCCTGTCTGTGGCTTTCTCTGTGGCAGTGGTGCTGCTGCCACCCTGTTAGAAAGCTTATATGAGAGTGCTAGCTGCTTATTCTAAAACGATAGTGAAGAATGACATTTTATTTTCCAAAAATGCTGAACTTCCAGTACCCCTGTCTGTAAAATCCTGGCCTCAGTGAAAGCAGTGGGAGTTTTGGCAGTGTTTGCGTGCAGGAAAGGGAGCTCTATGCTGCTTGGTTCTCACAAATGAGAATACAAGAACTGCCTCCTGGCTGCTACCCATCGTCTTTTTAGGGCCATGCTTGTTTTTAGTGACACTTTGTCCTGATGATTTTAAGAAGTGAAAGAGATCTTAAATTACCAGCTTGATTGCAAGCCATGAGATTTATTAGAGTAGGGAGTTCCAAGTCAGGTGCTCGAGTATTGCCTGTGTTAGAAATCATGGGTTGTTAGAACATTTGACAGAAGGGATGACAAATGCTGACTTTCTGTGGTAAGTGAAAACAGTAAATTGAGCATGTAATGTGTTCAGGATTTTATAGTATGGCCAAAAGGAATGAGCATATTGGGGATGCTAAAATAAAATACTAGGTGTTTCTGTTTGTTTCTTTAACTGACGTTCAAACAATAGTATACTTCGGAAGCTGTTTTGATTTTATTTTTTAATATAGATTATTTAGTGTTTGCTGGATGTTGAAGTGTATGTGTCTGATCAAGAAAAATGGTCAAACCAGTCCTTTAGTTATCAATTTAGGTAACATCTCTTAAACTAAGTGGATGTGTAATTAGTGTTGCTTGTACAGGATGTTCTCCTGCAGAGGTAGTATCAGGCTAAAACTGATGATACATAAGTTAGGCACATCCATGGGTCAGGTTTGGATTGGGTTGGTTTGTTGGTTTTCTAATGGGGTCATGGCAGAGAAGGAGGAAAACTTTGTCCTGATTAACTTTATTCATTCTTCAAGTTATCCTCAAAGCTTGCTATTTTCAGCTGATGTCACTAATCTTTGGGGACAGTTGAGTCTTTTCCCCTTTTTTTGATCATACTGAAAGTAAAATGAAACTCAGGATAAACACAAAACCCAACAACATTAGTGACTGGAGTTTGTTGTAAGGAGGTTTAAACCAGTCTATTCCTTCCCTGTGTTCCTTTTGTGTTCCTTTCTGTTTGCAGTCTGTAATTTCTTATGTGGCTGCTGCCACAAATACTTTAAGGGAATTATTCATTTAGTGAAGGCAGCACGATAAGTACAGAAGAGATGCAGCACATAAAACAGAATATGTCTTTATTGTATTATTTATTAAGATTATCATCAGAGTTTCAGAGTAAGAAGCTGTCTAGCAGTTGCATGCTTGTTAAAAGTAGGGTTTGTTTTCCCAGTCATCTGTCTTGATCCAGGTGGAATGAGTATCTCTTGCCCCAGTTTTGCTAGCTTGCCCTTTGGAAGTGAAACAAAGTGGCAGTGGATGTGTTCTGCAGTAGATAATGCCAGATTTGTTCCTGATTTGATAATTAAAGTGTTGGAGGAATGGGAGGTTGCTGGGGCCAGGCGTTGTTCTGCGTTGGGGTTGGGGTTTCCATTGAATGAGCTATGCCTCTTCCTGTTTACCTGTTAAAATTTTCTCTCCGTAGCTCTGGAACAGCAGCCGTTTGTTTGCCAATGCAGAAGATGCAACTCTCTTTTTGGGGACATTGGACACTATCTTTTTGTTTTCTTATGCTGTGGTGAGTAAAACTAACCTCAAGCTATGAAACTTAGGTTGAAACTTACTGGGATGATCACAACCACATTAAACAGCTTAGTTCAGAGGCAGGTTCTTTTTCCTTCACTTTCTGTTAGCTCTGCCCGTGCCTGTCACCCATGTTAGTTAAGGTGCTAGTTAACAAATACAAGAGAAATACTGTCACTGCAGAATTTCTTCCACTCCTGTCACCAGGAGGTGGGAGGACCAGCTCTGTCTCTTCAAGAGTTCTCAGCTGGATTTTTTAAAACCAGAAATGTAGCGAACAGCTGTGAGTCTCTTTGATGGCACAAAAGTGGTTAGAATCAAACTGTAAGTTGTTGTAACAGCAGTGTAACAGTATTAGCTTGACCATTTTGTCGTTTGAATTCTTAGAGCTATCAGGTGCTAATCTGCCTTTATTTAACACTGCGTTTTGTTCTTAGGGTCTCTTTGTCAGTGGCATAGTTGGGGATCGCCTAAATTTACGCTGGGTTCTGTCTTTTGGCATGTGCTCCTCTGCTCTGGTGGTAAGTCAGAACACACTAGTGCAATTTAACAATCTCCCTTAGGGTTTCTGGATAGTGTTTTGCTTTAGGAGAGAAGATGCTCTGTTTCTGTGTAAATCTGCTCATGAGCTGTAGCTGTACCCCAGTGGCCTCAAAGCCTGCAGGTAAAATGTGGTCCTGGATGCATGTACTGAATTGTCTGAAGCATAGAGCTATGCTTGATGACTCACCTCTTCCTGAAATATCTATTTCTGGATACTCTGTCGGAAGGAAATTCCTGAGTTTGAGGCACTATCTAGAGACTTGATAGACAGCTTTTGTTCCAGAGTGGTGTATTTGGACTTTTGGGGACTGTTTTGTAATATCACTCACTCTCTTAGCCCACATATGTTGTTATCAAGGCTTTTGCTTCTAAGCACAATCTTGGCACTGTTCTTTAAAGGACACGCTAACAATACCAAGCATTCATTTACTTATTTTGTAATTGGTAGCAGGGTACGTGTCAAAAAAAGAACAAAAGGGTTCTTCAGCTTCAAGCCACTGCAGATGTGTGAATCAGTTTTATCTCATGGTGGTTTTCTGGTTATAAAAGTAGTGGTAAAATATGTGGAGTGTGTTCGATTACAAACCCCACTATGGTGCTGTGCAAACACATGACCTCAAATGTGCATCAAGCACAGTGTGCCACAACTTCTGTTTATTCTGGCTAGTTTGGGGTAGGGCTCTTAGAAATTTGAGACCTGGCTGTAGTATTTATATTAAATTTTGCAAATACAAGTGACTGCTGAGGGCTCCGTGTTTGCACAGAGCCTCGTGGATTTGGATGTCAGGACAATAGCAGATCTAGAGGCTACTGTATTTTTAGTGTTGTTACTGAAAGTAATTGTCTTTCTTCTCTTTTCCTGTTATAACTGTGCTGTTTAGGAAGACAAAACTCTTTTGGAGAGGAAGCATGAAGCATCTGGAAGGCCTCATAGTAGCCTTCCAGTATCTGAAGGGCTCTACAGGGAAGCTGCAGAGGGACTCTGTGTTAGGAGCTGCAGTGATAGGACAAGGGGCAATGGGTACAAATTGAAGGAGGGGAAATTTAGGTTAGATATTGGAAGAAGTTTTTTTTCCTGTGAGGATGGTGAGACACTGGCACAGGTTGCCCAGGGAGGTTGTGGCTGCCCCAGCCCTGGCAGTGTTCAAAGACAGGTTGGATGAAGTTCTTGAGCAACCTGGTCTGGTGGGAGGTATTCCTGCCCAGGGCAGGGGGTTGGGGCTGGATGATCTGTAAGGTCCATTCTAACCCCTAAAATTCTGTGATTCTATGATAAGTGCCGTGAGAGCGCATTTTTCTCTGGAGCTGTTTGGGCCCTGGAGTGGGAGCTGTAGTGGATCAGCAGAGGGTGCTGTTAGCTCTGTGCTGTGTCTCAGGCAGTGCCAGGCTGGCCTCTGGCCTGGTCCTTGCGTGGGACTGGCTCCCTGGAAGTTTGTTGGTTTTTTTTAGAACCCCATTGCTGTCTGGCTGCGGGTTTCTTCTCTTCCCCCCCCCCCACTCCTTTCTAGGTGTTCTTCTTTGGCACACTCACAGAATGGCTGCATTTCTACAACATGTGGTTCTACTGCTGTCTCTGGATCGTGAACGGCTTGCTGCAGTCCACAGGCTGGCCCTGTGTGGTTGCTGTCATGGGCAATTGGTTTGGAAAAGCTGGGTAAGTTGGGTTTTCTTCAGTGACTCACTTGTCTGACCTCCTGACTAACAGATTGAGCTGAAGGTCTTAAACCAGAAACGCCAACTGTTAAATTATGATGAGGTGAAATGTGCCTTGCTTGTTAGATCTTTTTTTTTCCCTGTGTTTGTGAAGCCACAGATCAGCTTGGTGTGAGCACAGTTGTGTGTGTTAAAAGCAGAGGTTCAAAGTTCAAAAAACCCCAAGTGCAGAGTGACTGAATTTGAATTTTCATACCAGTGGAAAACCTGTTTCTGTCTGCTTACCATTAAAGAGACCAAATGGAAACCAAGGTTCCAAACTAATGGAGACCAAGGTTCAGCTGTCACTGTGGGGTATTAGAGATGAGCTTTAACCCTAGCTTGTAACCTTGTTGCCAGCTCACCTCTGCTGTAACACAGGTGTTTCAGGATACAACATTCCTTGCTTATCTGTTTAATACCCCTAAGCTGTTAGCTGTTTTAAGTGAACTTGGAGTCCCTTTGAAGTGGACTGGGAAAATGCTGTAACTTTATTCATAAGTTGAAGTTCACTTGAATGTTTTATCTTTGTATTGTTCCTAATGTAATCTCTCTTCACATTGCCTGTTTTTTTCTCCTTCTGCAGGAGAGGTTTTGTGTTTGGTCTCTGGAGTGCCTGTGCATCTGTGGGAAATATCCTTGGGGCATTCCTTGCCTCCTGCGTTCTCAAATATGGCTATGAGGTAGGTACTGCTGTCTGGCTTCTAGCTACGACTGCATGTCTGATTGGGTTATGATCAGAGTAGTTTCTTACCCTGCCTCTGAGATAACAGGCTTATATGTCCAGTTTCATCTTCCTGAATTTTGTGGAGACAATCAGTAGACAGAATAGAAAGAATGTTCCTTTCCTGGCCTTCCCAAGTTGGGAGAAACAAGGTTGAGACTTCTCTGTGAATAAGTCTGATGTTATTGAAGAGCTATAGTGTCATAGTATACCCTCTTCTGATTTGGGTGGCTTAAAGTGCTCTTCAGATTCATCCATCACAAGTTCTCACCTAACTGGAGTCACTGCTGCTAGAGTGGCATGGAGGCACAGCTGCTGTCAGTGAGAAGAGGCCAGGCACACACTACGTTGCTGTAACGCAGCAGGCAGGCACTTGAGTACAGGGAATGGGAGTGAACCAGCACATCTCGCAGCAAGTGACCCATGAGGACAGGCTAGTAGAGCTGAGCTTGTCAGTCTGGAGTTGAGAAGTCTCAGAGTACCAATAGCAGCCTTCCAAAGCCTGGGAGACAATTGCTGAGAAGTCGCAGCCAGACTTTTTCCTGGGTCACATTGTGAGAGAGCAAAAAAGCAGTGGGTACAAGGTGAAGCAGAGATGGTTCCAACTGGATGTTTGAAACACTCTTTTTCTATGAAATATGCTAAACATTAGAACAAGAGGACAGAGCCTGGAGGATCTGTCTTTGGAGGATTTCAGACCTGATTGAACAAAGCTGTGAAGGCTACTATGAGGCCTTCCATATGCTTCATGCTTCCTCTCCAAAAGAGTTTTGTCTTCCTAAACAGCACAGTTATAACAGGAAAAGAGAAGAAAGACAATTACTTTCAGTAACAACACTAAAAATACAGTAGCCTCTAGATCTGCTGTTGTCCTGACATCCAAATCCACGAGGCTCTGTGCAAACACGGAGCCCTCAGCAGTCACTTGTATTTGCAAAATTTAATATAAATACTACAGCCAGGTCTCAAATTTCTAAGAGCCCTACCCCAAACTAGCCAGAATAAACAGAAGTTGTGGCACACTGTGCTTGATGCACAGTCATGAGCAGCCTGGTCTGAATTTGGTGTTTGACCTTTCTTTGAGCAGTCCCTTCTAATATAACTGGATCTGTGGTTGTGTTTGGTAAGCTCCTTCCTCACTGCTGTCCACCTCAGTACACTAAAACCACCATTTCAGTGTGGTCTTTCAGCCTAGACAGGACCAGGTCTGTTCAGGAGATGCAGAGATTCCTTGCTTACAAGTTTTATGGATGTAGTCTGGGTTTGCCATAGCTGTGTTGGCTGGAAAATAAAGAAACCCCCACTAGTCAAGGAAGCCTATGTGACTGAAAGTATCTTAAAAAAATACTCTTTTTTTAAAATTTTTTTTTTCCTCTTCAGTATGCTTTCTTGGTGACTGCTTCAGTACAGTTTGCTGGAGGAATTATTGTGTTCTTCGGGCTCCTGACGTCACCAAAGGAAGTGGGTGAGTAGAAGAGGGCTATACTATTTCAGTCCCTTCATAGAAAACATCTCTCCATGTAGTACTACTAAAGGTACTGCTCATTCTGACAGCATTTATTCTCAGGGCTCTTATAAAATGCTGTTGCACTTTAGTGTATTTAATGGAGCAAATGCTTTACTCACCAAGACCACACTAAATGCCACCATGCGTCATGTGTATAGTGTCTGGGTATTTGTGAAAGCAAAATAAAACAGCCTGGCTCTAACATCTCCATTACTATGTGCCTAATTATCAGTTTTCTTCAGCTGAAAAATCAGTATTTATTAAAGAAACAGCAGACAAACTGATGACTGGCTAAACTATGGCAAGCCTTAACCATGCAGTGGGAAGGGAAAGCAGTTTTCCTCTGCAGGTCTCTCACAGCCAGTTAAATAGCTCTTGGGTTGGATGTGGTCCTTCTCTGAGGATGGTAGGCAAGCCAGAAGTGTAACAGGAAAACAGAAGAACAGCTGGGCTTTGACAGGGCCATGAAGGAGGTTTCCCAGGTGCCTGCAAAGGCTATAAAGTTGGTTGCCCTAAAGCTACCATAAAGAGTGCTTCTGAGAGTGCTCTGCATCCCAGAAAGCACAGTGCAGTTCCCAGGCCTTCCATTCCAGAGGTGTTAACATGCAGCAGCTGCCTAAAAAGTTGCCAGTACACAGCCTCTACACTCAAGGGAAGTGGTACCCAGGAGTCAGGTCTGAGCATCCCAACCACTAACTAAGGGGGGAAATGCACTAATTTGTTGTGTCTTCCAACTAATGGCCGGACACTCAGAACAGACAGAGCGGACGCCAGGATCAGACAGAATACTTGCAAGAGCGCTAGAAGACAAAGGGTAGAAACTGGCGACACTGCAGAACACCATCTAGAAGAGTTTCTAAGCCCAAGGAGGATGGAGGTATGGGAGAGCAAGGGAATTGCTAGAAGGTAGAATTGCTTAACAGAAGAGAGCATAGCTTTAGAGTGGGGAAGAGGGTAAACAGGCTGTGGTCTATTTTTCCTATTGCTTATTCCTTGCAAAACTTAGGCCTTCCTGAGCTTGGAGCAGATGAAGATGACAGTGTGGAAGAAGATAGCAACAGACCTCTAATGGGCAATGACGATGCAGATGATGATGACCGGAATTACTCTATTCAAGCAACTGACACTGACAACCAGCCAAGGGCCATTGGCTTTTTCCAGGCTTGTTGCCTTCCAGGTGTAGTGCTGGTGAGGACACACACTCTTGAGTGAGAGCTGACTTTTTGTGTTTTCAGCATTTGTTGACATCATTGTTAATATGTTGACCCTCTGTTGTAGTTGACATCTGACTTCTTATGCTGTTAAAAGGGGGTTGGGAGCATTATCCTTATGCATATGGATTATAGTACTGTCTGGGTATGTGGTTGCATGTTGCTCTTCCCATAGGACCTCTGCTCCATGTAGTACATGCCATGAGCCTATGAAGGACAGCAGAGATCCTGCCCTTTCTGCTGCTGGATTTGGGAGGGAGGCCATGAGCAGAGGTAGCTGTACCATGCTTTCTTGGTAAGGTAGCTACCTGCCCTGAGGAGTGGAGTTCTCATTGCTGGCTGAGCATCACATAGAGCTCTGTGGCACTGAGGTTTGGGTTTTTTTAGTAGTCTTAAAGGAGAAAGCTGGCTTGAAGAGGCTTAGTCAGCATGATATAACATCTGGCAAAGTATGTGGGGTATTTTATGAACAACTGGAAATAAGGTCTGGTGATGAAGTTTCCAGATGTCCTCATCCTGTGGAAACTTTTATTTCTGTTTCAGCAGTATTGCCCAATTCATGGATTTGATTCAGCTGAAAAATTAACCTGTCATTAAAACCCAATGTTAACCTTCTGTGTCAGTGGGCTGTATGTCCTGAGTGCTAGAACCAGCACAAGAAAGGGGCAGGGTGACTGGCTCAGCAGCAGTGTGAATTGTTTGGGTTTGGTCACAAAGCAGAACTACTGAGTGGGTAGTGTTAATGAGCAGGGCAATTGGCTGTTGTGGTGAAGGCAACAAAATCTAGAAGGGATGGATGGATTGTCAGTGTTTTGAGCACAGGACAACCCCAGTGCTGTTGTTAAGACCTTGGCTGAGGGATGGCAAAAGAAAGCTAACCCATCTTGACTCCTTGCCTGACATGACTATATGCCTTATGCTGAATTTCTCAGTGGTGGTGTCTGCCTCAGTTGATGTGTGACTTGTTTGATGGGCCAGAACAAAAGGAGATAGTGACATAGCAACTGAGGGTGCTGGTACTTTAGATTTTGAGGATGTGTTCTGTGCCCTAATCCAGCAGCCTGAGCACCACTGAGTGTGTGAGTTTTATCTGATGTCAGATTAGTGCTCAGTCAAACCAAGACTCTGTCAGATTGGTGACCAGATACTGAGAGAATCCCCAAGGCCTTGTCAAGATTCTACAAAGACTTTATTTGACATTTTTTTTCTGTAGCTTGTCTTTTCTCCTACTGAGTGCTATGATGGAAGATTTTTAATACAGACAGCTTTTCCTTGAGCCTCTAGAAATTCATTGTTTAATCACTCAGTCTGAGAGACAGTTTTGAAGTGTGTTGTAATAAATATCATCTGGTACAGTGCACTGTTTACACCCAGAGGCAGGAGAACCAGCCCTATCAAGCATTCCTGTGTCTTACCTGTATGGTGGAAACTAGTTTGTGTCCTGTAAGAGTGAAAAAGCATTAATAATACAGCTAAAAAGGCTGTATCTATTAACATAATATGTACTCAGAAGAGATGTTTTTTGGAGTTTAATATGTCAAAAGATCTGCTCTTTGAAATTTGAGACCAAGTGTGTACATGCACATGTACATACAGTCTCAAATCTGTGATTCCAACAGGCTGTTTTTTTCTGCCGTCATCCTTGTTTACCTCTTCCAGTATGGGTCCCTGGAACAGCAGTGTCAGTGTTTATCAGGCAGCCTGACTGAAATAGTGTGCCTTGTGCCTCTGCATGCTGGGCCAGCAACCTCAGAGAACTATTCTTTGCCACACACATCAAAGTTCTGAAGAAGGAGATCTGCTAGCTAAGGAGAAATTGAGCCCAGCAGCCCAAAGCAGGAGGCTGTCTCAGCTTTTGGGTTTGGAAGCATGTGCTTAGCTTTGGCCAAACCTTTCATCTCGTGTCCTGGAATACCTGCCTGGGGATTATGAACAAAGCTTTCTCTGATGGTGCTGTAAGCAGATGAGCCCTCTGAGCAGTAAAGACAGCACAGAGGAACTACTTCACATAACTTTTCTCAGCATGATGCACAGATGACTAAATCTCAAGCTTGTTTCATGTCACGTGGTTGGCCCCCTTCTCCTCAGAAGGTGAATTACATTTTCTTCATTTTTTGAAGCCTGGTGTCATTTTCTCTCAAGATTACGCTGAAAGTGTTTTAACTCATTGAATCCAAACAATTCTTGACAGTGAATTTTGTATTCCTGGGTTCCCTTTGATGTTTAGCATTAAGCTTTCACAATGCTGCCTTCTTACATGCAATGGAGAAGCACTTCCCCCTGAAAGCTTTAACGGAATCCAGAGCTTTATGGGAAGAAGCAGAAATGTTGTTTGCGTTTCTCACAGTGCTAACTGCTTGCTGTCCCTCTCTTTGTTCCAGTACTCTTTGGCCTATGCCTGCTTGAAATTGGTAAATTACTCATTCTTCTTCTGGCTGCCCTTCTACCTCAGCAGCAACTTTGGATGGAAAGAAGCAGAAGCTGACCAGCTCTCGATCTGGTATGACGTGGGAGGAATCATAGGTGAGTGAGCAAGTGAATGACATTTTCCTGCAGCTGCCCTGCTAGCATTTGAAAATGAAAGACAGAGAACATAGCCAGAGCAGTTGTGTTCAGTGGCATCTAGCTGGTCACTGAATATGGGAACAGTCTAGTTGTGTATGTGACTGCTTGATTTTGGTTTGGTTTTTCTCTTAAACACAGAGTATGTGACCCCCTAAAGAGTTTACAGGTAATTAAAGGTCACTGCCATATTCTGGAACATTACCCCCAGATGGCATTTTTCTTTACTGACTAGGTGTTCTTGAAAAGTGCTATGTACAAAATGGTGCCCCTGCTTGCTGCTTCCTTTCTGACAGGTACCCTTGAGGGAGATTTAGATCTGGACTTAGAGTTCTGTACTGTCCCTTCTGTCCTGTAGTTATAAGGACAGACTCAGTGCAGATCTTGGCAGAGCAGGCACCAACTGTGCTATATTCAGATGTAAAATATAAGTGTACTTATTTCTGCTGGCTTCAAAATCTGACCCTGTTCCTCCAGAATAAAGAGCATATTGTATGTGTGTTTAGACTTCCACTCTCCTGTGCTCAGTTTCTTGCTTTATTGCCTTGTCCAGTTAGCTTTCCTAGAATAGACATCCTTGTTTGAGTCTGTTCAGGGTCAGTTTTTTTGCCTCTGTAGCCTTTCCTATGTTAGGCTTTCTCAGCATTCTAGTTTTTACCAGCAGAGCAGTTCCTACAGAGGTAGCAATGATACATAAGGTGATTTTTGTCAGCCTTTGTCATTTGTTGCAACCAGTTACAGCTACGCTAAGTGAGAGAGACAGCAGGGAATGTGAGGCCCCTGTGTGCTAGTGTTTTCCCTGTGAGAAAGAGCTGGCTTTTCTTGCACTTTCAGTTAAAGGACCCAGCCACAATGATAGACTTGCTTAATCCAGAGTTGTGGTGGTCCTGGAGCTGTAACGGACCTATAGGGGAAGGAAAAGGAAAGTGGGACCATTGGCTAGGGGTGTGCCAGAAAAAAAAAGTAGGAATAAATTTCTGGGAAAGCAGTGTGAGTAGTTTTCCCTGCTTTGTCTGAAACATTTAAGTTTGCTGTTGTCTCTGTGTCTGGGGCAGTAAGGGCAGGAGATTGTTCTCAGAATTTTAGAGACAATGTGTATTGATGAGAAGGTAAGAGGCCGCTGCACTCAGTGAAATGAGTTTTGTTCCAGGTGTTAGCACCCTGAGCCTTACAGTGATGTATTTTTTTTGCAGGTGGGACTATCCAGGGCTTGATTTCTGATGTGCTCCAGAAGAGAGCCCCTGTGCTAGCCGTTAGCCTGCTCTTTGCTGTAGGCTCTCTTTTTGGATACAGCCGTGAGTATGCTTGTGCTGCGCTGTGCTTGTGAGGTTCCTTCAGTACATCTTAGAGAGAACTAGAGCACAGACTGTTCTGTTTTCTGGTCTTGAAACTGCTTGTGGATGTTTGGAGCCTTTTGGTCTATTTTGCTGAAGTGTGGCACTGCACAGAAAGAAATCTGTTCTCTAGCTAATGAGGTGGAAAAGAATTAGCCAAGTGGTTGAATTTCCCTATACTGGTGAGTTATGGTACTGATCCTTCTCCAATGTCAGTGAGATTTTTCTGGCATTGTTATTGTGTCAGCTCCACAACTGGCAGAGCAAAAAATCTCAGGTGCTTCCCTATAGTAACAGGAAAGAGAATCTGGGGACAGATCTCTGTCTGGAGTATATATACACTGCACACAGGCAGGACAAGCTCTTAGACTTTACCACTTACACTTCTGTTAGTGGTGAAATTGGAGAGTTTCTACCTCTTTTTATAATACAGTTTTTGGTGTTTCATTATTGAAAGGATTCTGTGGGGAAAACTGAGTATCAGGAGTCAGGAATATGTAATTTCTATGAAACATCTATGAAATGCTTCTAAGTGTAACAGTTTTGTGGCTTCAGACGGTGTGTCCTGTGATACCAGAGAGATTTAACTCACTGGGATGGCATTTCACTTCTCTATCTTCCCTCAAAATGGGGTGATGATACAGACAGGCTTTTATAGAGCACTTGAGACCTGTGGACAGAAGTCTGTGCCAGAGCTGGACATGAAAAGTAAAGAGTGTCTTTCAGAAGCATGTGGGCTTACTCAGGCACTCTGACGTAAGGTCAATAAGTTGTAATCATGAAATACCAGGGATTTGGTTTGGTGGAGTTCTGTGGAATTTTGATAGGCTCTTGTGTAAGCTCATTGCTTTGAAAAGTGAATTGGAAGTAAACATGAAATCGTTGCTGATGAAATGTGAAGTTTGTACTAGGTGGCAGAGGAGCCAGAGCTCCAGGTGGCTCATGCTGAACTCCAAATGTGCTGCTGTCCTGCCAGGTAAAGTAGGCTCAGACAGGGGATCCAAAGTTCCTGCAGTGTGGTAATTCAATTTCCATCAACCAAAACAGGAAACTTTTTTTATGCTCATACTGTGTTGCACGTAAGAGTAATAATGGCCTGAGTATATGTGAAGAGGGCCACAACTTGCCTTATGCATAGTAACTCGGCCATGTCTGAACCCCAAGTTGAAGTAAGGAATTCAGGTGATTCCTGGAAGTGAGATGTTAGGGAAAACAGTGTCTGAAAAGCACGAGGGACTGTAATGGAAAGCCAGCTGTGTGTACACAGGCTGCTGGAAAGGCAAGTGGAGCCTGTAGATGTAGAGGAGATACTGGGATATGAGCTTTTCATTTTTTGCTTTATTGTATAGCATTGTTTAGGCACTTGCTGGATTACTACCTCCAGGCCTAATCTCTGCGTTGAAAAAAAGTTTTGGAAAATTCAGAACGAGTGGAAGGGCTGATTCAAGTGCTGAATGGTGAGAGAGTTTGAGCTGTATCTGACTTCCCCACAGAGACAGAGAGAGGAAGGATTCTCTTAGTATTGAAACGGGCTTTCAAGGAGAGTAAATGCAACCTCTGTGTCACAGAAAGAGGCATACAAGGGCTGGAACCCAGAGCCAGGCAAATCTGATGTCAAAGTAGGGCACAAAATGTTAATAGCAAAGGTGATTTTTCTATTGTAAAGCACTGTCAGGGGACTTCTGGATCTGTAGTCTCTAAATGCCTTTGCAGTAAGACCCTTCTCTTTAGAAGTCTCTGGTCAAACAGAAGTTATTGTCATCACTGTGTAGGTAACTGAACAGGCAGTCCAAACTGGATGCGTCCATGTTTTTTTCTGAACTCAAGTGAGTGGCTTCCTCAAGTTCATTCACCTTATCTTTCTCTTGCAGGTTCCCCAAACAGCAAACCTATCAATGCTGTGATCATGGCAATTACAGGTATCTTATCAAAAGCCACTGTTGTGCTAGTAGACATCTCTATTGCAGAAGAATCAGTCACACCAGCCAGGTGGTGGGAAGGTGTTTGCATGTGCTGCCATCTCTACTGGTTTTGCTGAAAGAGTGAGAACTGGGGCCCAGTCTCTGTTACCTTTGGAAGACAGCTGTAGGAAAACTGCCCTACAGAGGGAAGTATAGAATGTAGAATAATGGTTTGGAACTGAGGGGGTCTGCCTTGGCTCAGTGTGATGAAGAAAGATGGATTTATGCTAAAACACCTAGCAGTGATCTAGTATCTGAGGAAGTGTATATATGGCAAAGTCATGAGCTGCAGCTCAAATTTGAGGGTGTTTGTCTGTCAAAACCCCAAATAGCCTGTGGACTGTGAGAGGTCACAAGCATTGTGTGCTACCAGACATACTGTGCTGTGTTGCGGAATTAAGATTAGCCTGCATGAATAGAGCCTTTATTTCCAAGCACTCCTACTTCAGAACTCTGTCCTGTTGTCATGGGTTGGTTTTTTTGCCTTCTGTCTCCTCCATGAACCCTCCGAGACTGAGACTGTAGCATGGGGGTTTGCTAACTCCAAAGTAATGAAAGTGTTCTTGTTGGCAATTTCTGTGTGTGTACTGCAGGTATACAAGGTGTTCCCTGTCCATGTGCTCCAGCTGTGAGGGTGCACCTCTATGTGCAATTCATTTGTGACACTGTCTCTGGATTTAAATCTTTGCCTGAGCTTTGCATGGTAGAAAATCGCTTGCTTCGAGTGTGCTCTGTTGAGAATCTGTCTGTGTTTTGCACCAAGGCTGGTTTCTTGCTACTTTCAGGATTTTTCATTGGAGGCCCTTCTAACATGATCAGTTCTGCAATTTCTGCTGACCTGGGGCGTCAGGAGCTGGTGAAAGGCAGCCGAGAGGCTCTGGCAACAGTCACAGGCATTGTGGATGGAACTGGCAGTATTGGTGCTGCAGTGGGCCAGGTGAGGCTTTCAAAGGAAAACAGAGCTGGGGGAGGAAGCAAAGCCTTTGTGTTTAGAGATGTTAATGCATTCCTCAATGCAAAGTTGTGTGCAGAGAGAGAAAGAAAGAGAAGGTTGGGTTGGGGTTTTTTTTAAAGAATTACTTATTTAAGAACTAACCAAGGGAACATGTTTTAAGTCTCCAGTGGAAGCAATTTCATTAAGAACTAAACTAAGTATTCAGAGTGCTAATGTTATGACATGCTCATAATTGGCATGAATTCTAGAGACTCTCATATCCTGAACTCCAGAAAGCAAGTAAAGGCCAGCTTGACAAAGAGTGAAAATAAAATATTTTGGTGCTTGTTTGGGATTTTCTGTTCAAAGATGATAGCAAAACCTTTGCTTACAGAAAAGTTAACCTGTAAAATTAGAAAAGCTATTATGAATGTTACAGTGCTGATGAAGTAGTTTAAAATTTGCTGTTACTTGTGGTTCCTCTTTTTTCTGTGGATGTCTTTTCCATCCTGTAAATCCAGCACCACTTTTTCAATAGTCTGCAGTATGCTGCTAGAGGTCCGAGGACTAGACCATTGCAGAGTAGGAAGCTGACAGTGTGCACAGTGGGGATGTTCTTTCTTCTCACATACAAGTGAGATCCATCTATGTGGAAGAGCACAGTGGTGCTTTGGGGAGGATTTAGTAGAAAGATTGGATCCAGTTATATTCCACCCTCTAGTGATGGTAAAATACCTAGGATACGGGCAGGGCATGTGAATTTCGGTTCTTGATTTGGGTTTGTACTTGCCATTGATTGCCTGATAAATACAATCAATCAGACTGTTTTGTAGGATAGATGCTGCTTAGCTCCATTAAACATGGAAAATTACAAGTGCTTTGGGGATATATATAAGTGCACTGTTACACTCAGTGTTCTTCTTGCGTCATCTGCAGTGTTTCTGTCTTCCCACACACATACCATTCAAACCTATGTCATCAGAAAAACTGGGTCTTTCCTCCTGAAAAATTCCACCTGCCTCCCCTTCCAACATGGCATTTATTCCAGCTGGGGCAGTCGTGAAGTTGTTCAGGGGGTGTGTGGATTGCAGCAAATGCACAATGAACATGTTGGCAAGTGAGACCCTGTCTGAGCTTCAGTTCAGCAGTGAAGAAGGGAGGCCCTTGTGCAGCATCTGAATATAACTCTGCTAGTATGGAATGCATCTTCCTGTAGCCTGTGCAGCTCTATTGAACTGGGGTGCAGTTCAGAACAGACTGCAGTCCCAAGTGTCTTGCCTGTGATGAAGGGTTAAGTAGCTCTGGTTGCACAGCTCTTGAAAATGTGTCCTGTGTAATTTATAAGCCATTCTAGAGCTTTTAGTTCTTCTGAGAGTCCTTACATCCCAGTGTTCTGTGTAAAAACCTTGCATTCATTGGAGTCAATTTGTCACCTTTGAAACTGTAGTTCAATTCTGTCTTTATGCTGCTCTGAGTTACTGTAAAGATTCAGAATGGTATCTGTGCTTTGCTGAGACTGTGGGTTTTGTGAAGAAAAAGGGCTGCTGTCCTGAGTCATCTCTGCTGACAGAAAAAGATCAGCTGGAAGGTTTTGTGAGGGACTCTGTGCAGAATACTAACAGCCCACAAACTCTGTAAGATGAAAGTGTCATGCCTGAAAGTCATGCTTGCCTTCCCAGTTTGAATGATTGGGTTTTTTTCATTTCTATCTAGTATCTAGTGTCTTTGATCCAGGAGAACCTGGGATGGATGTGGGTTTTCTATTTCTTCATTCTAATGGTAAGAAATAATCTTTGTTTTAAATTCTTTGTCAAAGTTCAATTTGCAATACAAAGCTATAGTGAGAACCTGAAAATTGTGACTTAGGCAGCATCTGTGAACTGTGATGCCATTCTTAGAGTGGACTGTGGTGTCACTTTGCCTCAAGGTATCTAAATACACTGGGTTCATTTTGCATCCTTTACAGTCCTGTTACCCAACAGGAAGTTAGATTGTGTCAGAGACACAAAAATACTTGCCTAAAAATACCTGTATGCATTTCCTAGAGCTCACACCACCTGTCTGCCTTCCAAGGCAGGACTTGTCCCTCCTTCATCTCCATGATATGCAGTTCCTGATATTCTCAGAGAGCTGAATTTAAGCTGCTTGTTAGTTAGCCCTTGAAGATTAGTGGAAGGAGCACTGAGGGTCTTGACAGTAAAATGAGAATGCCTTGCCCTGGTATGCCACTGGGGGAAAAGATCGTTCTAGGCCCTGATTTCTCCAGCATCACCAGAATGGCAAATCCTGCACAGTTCACTTGTTCTTCCCTGCTGGAAGTGCCAGGAATTGGCTTTGCATCTGTGCTGACAAGGGAAAACCCTAACCCTAACCCAGCAGAGGGTTGTAACCAGCAGAGGTGGTGAGCAGGAAGGCCACTGAGGAGCTGAAGAGCTCATCTTTATGATTCTATGATCGTGACAGCTGAAATTTTGTGAGCTTTCTTGCAGGCTCAGTCCTTCCAGCCACTGTGCCATTTTGTCATCACCTCTCTCAGCCTGTGTCTTTCTGGGGTGCCCTTGGATGCTTGTTGGAGCGTGGGATGGCTGCAGCTCTGGTTTCTCTGTGCTAATTGTCCTGGATGTGCTTATTTTCACAGACAAGTTCAACAATCCTGTTCATTTCACCATTAATAGTGAGGGAGATCAGGTTGCTTCTGCATGAGCGGCACCTGCGAATGCTGGCTGAGTGACTCTGCCTGCCTCTGGAAGCACTGTTGTACAGAACTGACAGCTGGGACACTGCACAAAACTCTGGGAGACTTGTTTCTTGCATCCTCCAGGTTTGGACTAATTCCAAATGGCTCCACAAAACTTGATTGACTCACCTTTGGCCAGCTCAGTAGTGAAGTACCAGACACCCATCCTAAGACCCTCTGTGGCATGGAGCTGCTGACCTAAGCCAGACAATCCCTGGGACTGATGGACTGTCCCAGCCTTCCAGACTCTTTCATGGCAGCAGCCACACAAGGGTTTTCTGTTGGGTGATCTCACTGCTATACCCTTTCTTATTTATTTCTGGATGTGCTGACCCAAAGTCAGCTGTTCAAACTGACAGGTTTTGAGGTTGTCTCGCAATGAATTTTGATGCTCTGTTGTATTGGTGAAATCATACAGTGCAGTTCATGGGTAGTCTATGATCACTTTAGCTTTTAGGAAGGGCAAAAATAATGATGTGGAATTCATACTGTCCATTTGTTTAAAAACTGCTGTTGCTAAATCTCTGCACAGGTAGACCTCTGCTATCCCTAGCTGTTAAATGTTACATACTCCAGTAGAGTCACATGGAGAAGTTACCTCCATATTTGTTTTTAGCTTTTTTTTAATAATATTACTAATCTCTCTGGGGAATGAGATTTCATTTTTTAAACTATTTAAGCAGACAAATATTGTGCAATACTTTACTGTGGTCTCTGAGAATAAGCCTTAATAGATCCTTTGTGTCTAAAGGATCCTTGAATGGCTTCAGGGATCAGTAATGGGACACAAATAGTTTCACTGCTGCTTGGTTTATTGAACCTGATCAATACTGACCAAAGTGGGACTGTCAGGTGACCCTCTAAAGGAAAATGGTGTCAGTGACTTCATACTCCTTGGGCAATTGCTCATCTCTAGTGAAGAAGGACCAGAATGGACTTAGAGGAATTTAAGGGACCTCACTGCTCTCAGGCATGGGCTTCCAGAGAGAGACTGAAGTGTACTTGTGGAAGAGCATTAATGAGCAAGTTCTGCTCTCTTCCCCCATGCTCATCTGCCTATGGCTGCATAGAGGACTTCAGGCTGCAGGGTTTGAAAGCTTGGCCCACGTGTTTGAAGGGAAAGGTAGATGCAAGTCAGCACTGAAAACAGGTGGCTGTGCTTAGTGTGATGATGTTTGTGTGCTTTGCAGTACTGCAGTGAGCAGGGTGACCGACTGACACCTAACATCTGTTGGTGATGTTAAAGTATTGTCAAGTAACTTCACAACAAATTGCTCTCTGCTTATGCCTTGGCATGTTTCATTGTCATAGGTGTGTGTTAACCTGCAGAACTTGTGATCAAACACTTTGTAACTTGTCCGTAATGCCTGGAGGGGAGTAGGGAGCAGCAAAGTTCTCGGAGCTGAAAATTTGGAACTTTTTAAATGGGAACAGTTGCCTTTTCAACATGTACAGTGATAGTGTTTTATTTTTTAATTGATGAATGTCAATTTTTAGTCATGTGTTGATTGTAACGAGTGGAACATCATTAGTGCCTTACGGTTTTACATACTGAACGGTTGCTTGGTGGTTGCTGCTCCTGCAGTGACGTCTCTGTGCACAGCTTAGCTTAATGTGAAACTCAGTTGCCCCATTTTATAAGTTTTTTAAGAGTCTTTCCTTTTCTCTTTTTGCTCACCCTTGAGAAATGTCAGTGCTTGGGAAAGCAATGCCATAAAGCCAGTGTGGGACCTGAATCCTGTTCTTGTCTCTTCGCATTCCCATTCCAGTTTTTGCCTTTATAATTAGAGCAAGAGACTGAGAATCTATCGTCCTGTTCTCAGAATTATGCCCTGGGGATAGTGTTCACATCCCAAGCTACTCATTAGCCCCTTCACAAATAGAATAAAAACTCCCTGAAATTTAGTTATAAAATTGATGGTGGGACTGTTTGCCCCAGCATTTGAGAATCTCTGATTCAAATTCCAACCTGGATGAGCTTTTTGGCTGCCACCTGGGCAGCAGCTAAGCTTCTGATGGAAGATAAGGTGGGGCAGAAATGTCATCAGCATCAGGGGGAAGGAGAGGCCAGGCCCTGTGACAAATAGCTTCCTGTAAACAGTCCTGTCCCCTCTTGAGAAGTGTCAGATGTGATGTGAGTGCCGGCGTAGCCGCTCTCATCTGAGCGCGCCGTGGCGCTTCGAGGCTGCCCACAGTTAGTGAGCTGTGCCGATGGCTTCAGGAGTGGTGGTGGTGTTGTCCTGAATTTTTGGTTCTGTGTATTTCCTCAAAAGTGCCCAGGTGGAGAAAGGATTTCAATCTGATCATGTCCAAACTGAACTCATGTGAATAAACTTACTTTGACTTGATTTGGGCTACTTTTTCCATGTGTTGTATTCCACTCTTCCCAGTGTGGTTCTGCTGAGTGCTCCTCTTCCTCTCAGGCCTGGCTCTAACAGCTGATTTTCACTCAGCTGCTGTGAAGACCTGAGCCCTGACTAATGCTGAAACCAAGCCCTCCATCCCGGCCTGAAAAGGGTCTGTGTTCCCACATGCTGTGGTTTGGCACTCTTCCTGATCAAGCTCACGGGAAGTTTTGTGGGAGTTCCCTAACAGAGATGCCCATGATGGTTTAATTAGTGGTTTTAAATAAAGAAACCAGAACATACACTTGGTTTTGTTAATTTATTTATTTGTTGATCTGCAGGTAGAAGTCAGGTGTTCTTCCCTGGAAATGAAATGTGCTGTGTAGCTGTGGGACCTGCTGTGCCTTCTGTCCTGTGACTTGTTTCCTTAACATGAACCCACACCTATGCTTAGCTGTGTTTAAAATGGACACAGTGGGAAACTTGGTATTTGTGTTTTATAGTTTACCATAAATTCAGAGTGGAGCACAATACTGAACTGCTGGAGAAACTCCCATGCCTGGACATTCTGGGTCCAAGTAGTTTGGTGGTGCTATCATAGAATCATAGAATTTTAGGGGTTGGAATGGACCTTAGAGATGATCCAGCCCCAACCCCCTGCCCTGGGCAGGGACACCTCCCACCAGAGCAGGTAGCTCAAGGCATTATCCAACCTGGCTTTGAACACTGCCAGGGTTGGGGCAGCCACAGCCTCCCTGGGCAACCTGTGCCAGTGTCTCACCACCCTCACAGGGAAAAACATTTTTCTAATGTCCAACCTAAACTTCCCTTCCTTCAGTTTGAACCTGTTACCCCTTGTCCTGTCACTGCAGCTCCTAACTAAGAGTCCCACTCTGGCTCCCTTGTAGGCCCTTCAGATATTGAAAAGGTGCTCTGATTTCTCCACACAGTCTTCTCTTCTCTAGGCTGAACAGTCCCAACTCCCTCAGCCTGTCCTCATAGGGGAGATGCTCCAGTCCTCTTAGCAACTTTGTGGCCTCCTCTGGACTTGCTCCAAAAGTTCCATGTCCTTCTTATGTTGAGGGCACTAGAACTGCACGCAGTATTCCAGATGGATCTCCTGAGAGCAGAGAGGGGAATTGCCACTTTTGACCTGCTGGCCACACTCCTTTGGATGCAGCCCAGGATTCCATTGGCTTTCTGGGCTGAGAGCGCACACTGCTGGCCCATTGTGCTATGATGCTATGCCTCGAGAAAACCAACAGTTCATATTTTTACCCTTTTTCTGTGGCATCCCTCCCCCTCAGGAACTTTCAAGCCCACTCTGGAAGTACTCTGAGGAGCAGAGCTTTGCTTGAGTATCTGTTTGAAGATGCTGATAGTAGCAGTCTCCATCATTGCAACTGTGACTACCATCACCAGAGCTGAACGTTTAAGTCAAGCAGAAGTGTCAGAATTACTTTAGAGTGGAAAGGATTTGCACTAGGAATTGATATCTGGGCATTTAGGCTGAACCCCAGAATATGCAGACTGGTTGTGAAATAAAAAGGTGTGCTTCAGCCCTGTAATGCTTTTCCATATCAAGGAAGGTCCCTGCAAGCAGTGCTTCTATATTCTGCTGTAGTGGATTGGCCCTGGCTGGGTGCCAGGCACCACCAAAGTCACTTTATTCACCCTCTGCAAATGGACAGGGGAGAGAAAATATGACCAAAGGTTCATGAGTTAAGTACCAGAAGAGATCACTCACCAAATACCAGTATGGGCAAAACAGACTGAACTTGGGCAAATTAAGTGATTTTTATTACCAGCAAGATCAGAGCAGGACAATGGGAAACAAAACAGACCTTAAAAACACGTTCCCCCACCTCTCCCTCCTTTCCATCTCTTATGTCCTCCCCCACAGTGACACAGGGAGACAGGAGTGGGGGCTACTGTTACAGTTCATCACATGTTTGTGCCACTACTCAGGGAGAGGAGTCCTTCCCCTGCTCCAGTGTGTGGGGTGATCCCACAGAGTCAGTCCTTTCCCTGCTCCAGTGTGGGGTCCCTCCCACAAGGTCAGTCCTTTCCCTGCTGTGGTGTGAGGTCCCTCCCACAGGGACAGCTCTCCATGAACTTCTCCAGCATGAGTCCTCCCCACAGGCTACAGTTCTCCATGAACTACTGCAGCACTGGTCACTCTCCAGAGGGAGCAGTCCAGTCGCTCAGGGACAGCTCCAGTGCGTGTTCCACACAGGATCAGAAGTCCTGCCAGGAACTCTGCTCTGGCCAGGGTCTCCTCTCTCCATGGGTCCACAGGTCCCTGCCAGGAGCTGCTCCAGCAGGGTCTTCCCATGGGGTCACAGCCTCCTTTGGGCATCCACCTGCTCTGTCGTGAGTCTCTATGGGCTGTAGGTGGATCTCTGCATCCTGTTAACCTCCATGGGCTGCAGGGGCACAGCTGCTTCACCATGGTCTTCACCACAGGCCACAGGGGATCCTCAGCTCTGGTGCCTGGAGTACCTCCTCTTCCTCCTTCTACATTGATCTTTGTGTCTGCAGAGTTGTTCCTCTCACATATTGTCTCTCTTCTCTGGCCACTATTACTTCTGCACAGTAACTCTTTCTTTCTTAAACCTGTTATCCCAGAGGTGTTACTACCATCACTGATGGGCTTGGCCTTGCCGCAGTGGTGGGTCCATCCTGGAGCCTCTGCAATGGCTCTGCCAGACATGAGGAAGCTTCTAGCAACTTCTCACAGAAGCCATCCCTGTAGCTTTGCCACTGCCAAAACC